CGTGCACTCGCGTAGTTTTAGAGCGCAGCTCTTAGGGGCCCGTTTCCAGCCTGAGCGGCATCGGCGTCGCCGTTGGCGTCGCCGTCGGCGTCGCCGTCGCCGTCGGCGTCGCCGTCGGCGTAACCGCGCCCATCCCTCTCCTTCTCCTCCCCTCATCCTCCTCCCCCTCCTCCCCCTCCTTCTCCTCCTCCTCCCCTCATTGTGTAGTATGGTCCGGGCGGGTCACGTGACCTCGGGGGAGGGGGTCACATGACCCGTTTCCAGCCTGTGCGGCGTCGGCGTTGGCGTCGGCGTCACCCCTCCCCCTCCTCCTCCTCCCCCTCCTCCCCCGCCAAGGTCACGTGACCCCGGGGGGTGACTCCCCTCCCCCCGTTGAAGTCACGTGACGGCCCGCCCAAGGTCATGTGATCCCGTCCCCTCGAGGTCACGTGACCCCCCGGACCTCTGCCCTCCTCCTCCTCCCCCTCCTCCTCCTCCCCTCATTGTCTAGTATGGTCCGGGGGGGTCACGTGACCTCGGGGGGAGGGGTAAAGGAGAGGGAGGGGGAGCAGGAGGGGAGGAGGACTAGCAGGCACGATCACGAGGGAGGAGGAGGAATATACCCTCCACTCCTCCTCAAGAGCTGCGCTCCAATTCGGCGTTACAGGAAGTTGTAAACGGCTTTCACTTTTTTTATTAATTTTTTTTGCGTGAATTGCCCATTTCTTTTGTGTCACCTTAGCATGGACTATTGTTAGCCGCGAATGCTAAAAGCGCGAGCCAGTTACTTTGGATGAAGCCTCGGCGGCTGCACGAGCACTCGTGCAGCGAGTGCTTCAGTCAAGGCAGTGAAGGCTAGCCGCTCGCGCTCGCGCAACCTTCGCAGTTAGTTGTGAGACAAATTATAGGGAGTATTCACTGGCGGGCCATATCCGTGTGCGCTGTTGCTGAGCGCGTGCTGACGGCGAGCTTCCGCAGTTTTTTTGGAGCGTGCATTTAACACCATCAAGGTTGCTGGTATTAGCAGGTTATTAATGTGAGCTCGTTCTGAGCATGCGCTCTAAACATTGACCTCAAATATGGCGTCCAGTGAACACCTCCTATACCCGCAAGGCTTATTTCTTGAATCGCGAAACTTGCTGTACGAGGCAAAACATCGTGTCGTTCCCTTCACACCGCGGGAAGCGGGTTCACGTTTTCATCGCGACTGTCACTCATTCTTGTTTTTCCTCGCCTACGTTTCCTCTTATTTCGCTTGTCCGAAATTGTAATGTCTCGCTGTTTTTTTTTTAGTTCTTTTTTTTTTTTTTTAATTTCGTACACCGGTTATAAGCACGACACGGCTGTGAACAGAAACTAAACGGGTGAGCGAACTTCCTGCCTTTTATATGTTATACAAGCATGGTCACTGAAGAATTACTGACCGCTGACAAACAAGTCAGGTTTGCCCCCCCCCCCCCCCCCCCCAACTCGCGATATTATAAAAAAAAAAAAATTCGTAAAACTATTTTCTTCATTTTATAATACTTCACGCGACCTTGTGAAGTCACGAGGCTTTGTGACGTCATACGACACCCGAACTTGACGTCAAGTCGCGTGACGTCACAACTGCAGGCAACTGGCAACCAAGATGGTAAGAACCAGGAGGGTTTTTAGCATCTTGGTTGCCAAAACTCTGTTTCACTTTAAATCCGACCACGGCAACGCTGTATGCGATCGCAGAGAGCCTATCAAGCCGCGCCAAAAGTGCTACTTCATTAGTGCTCGTCGCCTTTGTGCGTTTGCTCAAACGCCGCTCTAACCTCGACACTTGGCGAAGAAGTCGGCGAGGAATCCGGTGGCCGTCGTGATTGGCCGGCGCCGCGCCCGACCTTGGCGCCGTCCAACCTGGGTGGTCAAATTCCTCGGCGACTTTTTTTTACCAAATATGTCCATATTAAAGCCCCCGGGCAGTGATTAAAGGTGCGAAGGCACCAGGGCCAGCTCGCGAGAAACAACGTCTCAGCTGAGACTTGACAAAAAAGAAGAAAAAACACTGCCAAAGCCATGTGCACGAGCTGAGCAGGACTCAAACCGCGTCTCAAGCATGGAGAATAGAGGGGTAGGAGAGGGCAAGACGTCGGCCGCGTAGCCTCCACAAGCCATGCTCCCTTGACGTCTCGCCTCTTTCTCATTTTCCTCCTTACTCTCCTCACTTACCATGCCAACGTGACCACATCACGTGATCGTAGCTAGCATTGGTCTTGCTATGGGGTACTAGAATACACCACAGTGTGGCCTTCGATCTGATAAAACCTACCGGACGGAGCGCGCGCAAGCCAGAAGGGGTCCTTCTACAATCAACCATCCATCTCACACGTGACATGTCACGCGCACCAATCACCAGACAGATCTGCGATCACGCTGGGCACAAAATCGTTTAAACATTTTATGACTAGGCTTCACTAATATTGCAACGTGCCCCCTCCTAGTACTTCTAACCTCCTTGGTCTCAAGACGCTGGCGCGCCCCAGCCTTTGCAGTGCTTTTTGGCAGGTTCGTTCTGTAAGGTGAGGGAGAGTTATGGGAACTAGAGCAAGCGTGAGAACTCAAAACGTACTTTACTGTACGAAAAAAAAAAAGAGAAAATACGATCAAAAGCATTGGATAGATTGGATAAATCTTGCATTCAAAAGCAAAGATATATACGAACAAAAAAGATATAGTCACCACTCTGCATAGCCGCCATGGAAAGTGGCGGGTGGATCGTCATTGAGCGGATCGTCGGAGAATAATGCCCGGCCCGCTGGTGCCCTTCGGACCAAGATGTCGATGCCAAGCGCGGTGATTCAAGCCTGGCGGAGGCGATTTCAAGTACGGGACATAGCCGACCCGAGCTCCGCAATCCAAGAAGATAGCAGCCAACCCTGGTGGCTCGTCGGCTTGCTCCGAATCCCCCCCTCGCGCCTCTCCCTTCTTTTTTTCTTTTTTTTTCGCGCCACCGAAATTTTTTTTTTCGCTTTTCTTTTTCTTTGTCTCGTAAATCATGACAGCTTGATTTCAGCCAGACTCAGCTGAGACGCTGTTCTTGCAAGCCGGCCTGTTCCTCTTGACGCCAAGGAAAGAGAGGACATCGGACAAGAGGAGAACTCTTCGAGCTATAGAGATCCAGATGCATCAGGCGGGGCAAAGTACCTTGCGCACAGACACAGTCCTACTTAACGTTGCATTTTATTTATTATACCTATAAATCGCCCATGGGGTTTCACATAAAGGAAGGCAAATCAAATACAACAAATCAAAAAAGGGAGAAAAAAAAGAAGACAGGAATACAATGTTCTTGTGTACTTAAGTAAGTCACGAGTGTAGCTCTCTGTAGCCCGGTGATTCTTGAATGGTGACAATATTATCGGGAAGAAAATTACATTAAGAAATGAATAATAAGTTTTGATAAAAATGTACAATTTATTTTGGACTTTTCGGTGCGTGGGCCGTGGGGATATGTGGATTGCAGCCAAAAAGTAAAAATATCATTTTTGGTGAGCTCTGATAAAACAAGGCGTGCAGTGAGGCAAGCCTGTATATCTTCCTTCTATCCGCGCATGCAGTGCGTTTAGTTGTACCGTCTAGCCGCAAATGACGCTTCACTTTTTTATGCTTCAGCTATGTGTGATTGTGGCTGTACACCTCCGCGACCTTTTTAATACATACAAATCAGCGCCGTTTTTTTTTTTTTTTTTTTTTTTTTTTTGAGCAGTTAAGGACTGTCATCAAGACTACCATGGTGGTTGGAAGCGCTCATTCGGGGTACTAATCCAACTGTACACTTTTGATGACTGCCAGTCCCTTTTAGAAGTAGAACGCGAATAAGCGCCGAAGTCAACCGCTGAGGACTAGAGCAAGAATAAATAGATTGCACTGTTTACATTCTTTTCTTAACGGAATCTTTAACGATAATAGGCAAATATACCCAGAATTTACCAGAAGGGGGTCGTCTAGTCTCAGTCATACAAGGACTTCGAAACAGTACAAATTTAATCGTGACGGGCTTAAATATTCTTTTTTTCTCTCGAAGCAATTACCGAATGGACTTCTTTACCGAGAGGACTTTTTGCCCCACTTGACGTTTTTTTTCTTTTTTTATAGATGTCATTAATTTGTACTCTCGAGTTAAATCGTCTTTTAATTATCATATGCAACCATCCCTGCTAATGCTTATCGATATAAACCTCCATATTTTTAAACAAAGAAAAAGAAATGTCGCTATCGCGCGAATTGGGTGTCCCCGAAAAAAGAAATATTTACAACTTTGTTTTTTGACAGCAAAAACATACTATTATTGCCGAACGTTCAGTTTCCAACCAAATGTAGGGTTAGCGCTCCGGTCCGGACACCAAAGTTTCAGAGCTGACCGTCATTCAAAAGCTGCAACCGGTCATTCTGAAACTTTCAATTAGTAACACGCCATTCATCCGTGGGATCTGCATCGGCCACCGTTTTCCCGTCGAAAATTACAGGAACGCTCATAACTTTTTTTTTTAATAAGAAAACGGTTCGTTCCGAAACGTTGGCAGCTGGTCCAGACCTCTAGACAGGGCACCCAACGATGCGTAACTTATTAAAAAAAAAGTTTTTCTTTGGGGAGAAAAAGACACCAGGGGGCCGAGCGAAGCAGAATTGCTCCACATGGGCTCCTGCCCTTTTTAGGCAGTTAACGCGAAAGTACCAAAATATCCTTATAATCTTCAGTGTCATTCAATTCACCAAGAAAAGCGGAACCGAGGGATACCACAGCTGCACAAGTGAGTGAATTTTTCGGCCAAATTTCCACCTTGGAAAGATCTACCTCGTATGCGGAGAGCTAAGCCTCACCAGGAATACAAGCGGTCGCCATCTTGGCTATACTCGAACACGGGGCACCCGCCGAGAGAAAGAAATAAGCGAGACCCAACGCCGAAACCCGCTTTGCGCGCGGGCCTTCGGGCCCCGCAAGCATGATACATACGCAAGTAACAAAGCAGGGAATGAACAACGAGATAGACATGGAGAACAGCGCGAGTACCAGAACGAGCGGCACGCACATGGAGTTCGATGAAAACAGCGGCAGGACGCTGAGCCAGCCTGGCCCGTGGTACGAAGTTCTCAAAGAAAGAAAAAGCCAGAAAACAGCGGATGAGAACCGCATAAAAGGAAGCAGCAAGGCGAACAGCGCCCAGAATCTAAAAGAAGATACGAGTGGGCTGACCAACCCAAAGATGCAACCGACCAACAACCAACTGCAGCAACAGCGACGCGGGGACGGAAGAACCCGCGGAGGCAACAACACGCCACCAAGGAAACGCATGTTGCCACCATTACCAGAGGATGAATACAAGGTAGTATACAGACCAAGAACGGGCCTCAAGCTTTCTTCGTGGTCTGATAAAAGCCTCACGCAAGGCATCGCCACAGCAGGCGGTTTTCCATTCAAAGACTTCTACTCGAATGTGACGATCCAGACGCAATGGGCTCAGAACTTGATCATCGCAAGTACTGCGGACGAGGACTACGCCATGAAGCTGAGCATGATCACCCAGATACAGCTAGGCGCGGCCTTGTACGAACTCATGCCTTACCTAAAACCGCTCCCGGGCACCGTACGAGGAGTGGTGCACGGAATAGAAGCAGGAACAACAGAAGAGGAACTTAAAGAACTTATCTCAGTCAACGGCTACAGCATTCTGCACGCAAGAATGCTCGGAAAATCCAGCTCGGCGCTACTCACGTTTGAGGGACCGCACGTGCCATTCTACGTGAAAGCGGGTAGCGTGTTCACCCGATGCCGGCCCCACCGCAGATCCGTGCAGTACTGCAGAGCCTGCGGGAATGTCGGCCACAGACAGGACGTCTGTCCCAACCCGGACACAAACAGGTGCAACCGATGCGGAGCGGAAAATCCTCAAGACAATCACGAGTGTCAGCCTAAGTGCAAGCTGTGCTACCAACCCCACGAAACGGCAAGCAAGGAATGCCAGAAACGACTCAAACCAAGTCCCCCACCGTTACACGTAAGGGAAAGAAGCAAATCGCAAAGTAAACAAGCCGCTTGGACGGGAGGTGCAAACGACCGCCCTTTCGAGCAGCAGCAACGGACGTCATTGCCGCAGGACAGAGTGGTGAGCTGGCCCCAGCTGGGGTCCCACTCTCCCAATGCTCCAGACCCATTTCCCCCACTGCCGGTCACGCAGCAGGATTCAAGTAACGCACATTTCGAGCAGACCATAGACACACTTAAGAAACAGAACGCGGAGCTTATCTGGCGCTTAGAAAACAACGAAAAAAAAGCGAAGGCTAGGGAACAGGCCCTAGAGCAGAAACTGCAACAGTTTATAGAGCAGATGCAGAAACAGCAGCAACAACTGCCGCAAATACCGCCGCGAGCTCCGACACCTCTGCCGGAGGACCTCGAACAAAAAATGGAATATCACATGAACAAATTAGATGAGAGGATCGATCAGAAGATTGATCAGACAATGAGCCAGATGACAAAAGCAGTTGAACATAAAATGAGCAAAATGATGGAAACCGTGAATAAGGTCTTTGAAAACGTTAATCCAACCATCATCCAAATGAGTACGACCCTCAACGCCAAGATTGATCGAATGGGGGAGACCCTCAATGCCCAGATGGGCAAGATGGGTGATGAGCTCAACCAACGTATTTCCGACCTTGAGAAGGAAAGGGAACAAGCCCGAAAGAAGCCGAAAACGTCGCCAGGAGGGGATGCGCTGACAGAAGAAACGATCAGAACCCACAATGGAGAGTAAAGAGACGGGAAAGAAAGACGCGGCCCAAATCCTCAAAATCTGGCAGTGGAATTGCCGATCGATTAACCGGAAAAGACAAAATCTACTACAATTTATCAGCCTTCATCAACCGGATATCATCGCGCTACAAGAAACAGAAACAGACACCATAAAGATACGGGGCTACGAGACACACATAGCCGAAGGAAAAAACCGGACAGCCATCCTCACCAAGAAACACCACACAACACAACAACACCAAATCGGCCACAGAATTGAGCACACTTTGATAGAGATGATACCACAAAAGAAGACATTACAGAGTCTATTTATCCTGAATGTTTACAGCCCGCCCTCGGACAACCTAAGGGACTTGGACAAGTTCCTGAGGGAGGTAAAGAAAGTTACCAAAGGGCAGAAGATACTCGTAGTTGGGGACTTCAACGCACCGCATGTAGCGTGGGGATACCACAAAAGCAACAAGAAGGGCACGGATGTGCACAACGCGGCTCAGCACCACCAACTGACGCTGTGGAACGAGCCTCAGTGTCCAACCAGGATTGGAAACAGCATCTCCAGGGACACAAGCCCCGACTTAACTTTCTCGAAGGGCATACGGCAAATCGAATGGACAAGGCTGGAAGAAACCCTAGGAAGCGATCACTATATAATTCAAACCGAACTCCGACACAACAAGACTCCATTGAGAACGGGACAAGCGAAGATCACGGACTGGACCGCGTTCCGAAAGGTGGAACACCCAGCGGACATGGACGATATTGAAGAATGGACCAGGCAAGTGATGGAAGAGGTAACCAAGCACACAAAGACGATACAACTCACTTCGGACAACCCCGAAGTTGACCCGCACTTACTCCACATCTGGGAGGCCCGACAGGGCCTCCTAAAAAGATGGAAGAAACAAAAGAGAAACCGCAAGCTCAAGGTCCGCATTGCCCTGTTGACCAGGGAAGCTGAGGAGTACGCAGAGAAACTCGGAATACAAAACTGGAATCAGCTATGCGACCGGCTACAGGGTACCCTGAGCAATCGCAAAACATGGGCAATACTTAGGTCGCTGCTGGCAAAGACCGAGTCAAAGAAGGTCACGTGCCAACATATTCAACGCCTCATCCACAACTATCAGGGTTCAGAGGAAGACGTGCTCGAAGCCATCACTGAAAAATACATTGGCAACCAACAACAACAGACGACGACGATCACTCACCTGGACTACGAGGGAAAATCCAACCCAGAGTTGGATCAACCCTTCAGCAGGGCAGAGATAGTGGCGGCGCTCAGGAACTTGACGAGAAACACGACCCCAGGAAGGGACAGAGTTAACAACAAGACGCTCCGTAACCTGGACGACAGAGCCACGGAGTGTCTCCTTAAGCACATCAATGAGAGCTGGGAGACCGGGAAGATACCGGCATGCTGGAAACACGCGGATGTGACAATGATCCCAAAACCGGGCAAACCGATCACTGTGCAGAACCTGAGACCAATATCCCTCACATCGTGTGTGGGAAAGCTATTCGAGCACGTGGTACACAACAGATTATCCCCGTATCTCGAGGAGAACGAATTCCTCCCTAACACGATGTTTGGATTCAGACCTCTCCTATCGACCCAAGACATCCTTCTTCAACTCAAAGAGGATGTAATAGACAACCTCAGCACGCAGCACAAGAGCGCAATTCTAGCATTGGACGTCAAAGGGGCGTTTGACAACATCTCCCACAGTGCGGTGCTAGACAGCTTACAAAGGACAAACTGCGGCCAAAAGACTTACAATTTCGTCCGTGACTTTCTCACAGACCGGACAGCGACCATAGGCCTGGGAAACCTAAGGACCGAACAGATCAAGGCTCCACAAAAGGGAACCCCTCAGGGATCGGTGATCTCGCCGTTGCTTTTCAATATTGCAATGAGGGGTCTACCGCTCCTTCTAAAAGACATTAAAGGTCTCAGCCATGCAATCTACGCGGACGACCTTACCATATGGACGACGTCGGGGTCGGCAGGAATGCAGCAAGACGCTCTGCAAGAAGCGGTGAACAGGACCGAGAGATATTTGAAAGATTGTGGTCTCTCGTGCGCTCCGGATAAATCGCAACTTTTGGTGCTAAAAAAGAGGGCGAGAGGTCGTCCTCCACCGGAAACACCAGACCCCGTACTAACTCTACATGAAGATAACATCCCACAAGTCGACGTGCTCCGTGTCCTGGGAGTAGTATTTCAGAAGGATGGTGCAGGGATCGCCACAGTGCAAAAACTCCAAGAAACAGTCACACAAGTTACGCACCTAGTAAAACGGGTAACAAACAGAAACCACGGCCTCAAGGAGCAAGACACTTTGAGAATCATTCAAGCACTCGTCATCAGCAGAATAACGTACGGGACCCCGTATCTGGGGCTCAAAAACAGCGAGCGCGAGAAGATTAACACACTCATTCGCAAGACATACAAACTGGCCTTGGGGCTTTCCCCAACAACCTCCACAGAGAAACTACTCCGATTGGGTATACATAACACATGGGAAGAGCTGGCAGAAGCACACAAGGTGAGCCAGGTTGAAAGACTTAAGCTCACCAGTACAGGCAGGGACACCTTAAGAAGACTGGGCTACGGAATCGAAGACGAGTCAAGAAGTAAGCAAAGGATTCCATTACAACTAAGAGACAATATCACAGTTGCATCCATTCCTCGCAACATGCATCCAGAACACAACAAAGAACGACGAATGGCAAGAGTGAGAGCACTGAGAAAGACCTACGAGAGAGACGATGACCGCGTGCGGTACACAGACGCAGCGAAATACAAGGGAAAGAAAGCACACGCGATTAGCGTGGTAAACAACAAGGGAGAAGAAGTCGCGGCGGCCTCCGTGAGGACCCCAGACACGGACTCAGCAGAGGAGACAGCAATCGCTCTTGCGGCGACGACAGGCAAGGAACTCCTCACGATAATAACAGACTCACAAGCCGCCTGCAGAAATTACCAACTAGGCCGAATATCACGATTGGCCCTCGAAACGTTAAAAAAAATCAAAGATCCCCCCGAAATAGTCATAGTCTGGACCCCAGGACATGAAACCCTAGCGGGTAATCTAGCGGCGCATGCCGCTGCCCGAGAACACTCTCTCCGGGCTACCTCGCTGGGCGACCGTGCTCCAGCGGATACAGACGAGGGCGTTCCAAAAAGATACACCGACATTCTAGCGCATTACAGACTAGGGAGGAGAACCTACCCTCCCCCACACCCTACAATATCCAGAGAGGACGCCGTGACACTTAGACAGCTACAAACTAACACTTTCCCGCACGGCACATTATTTCACGCAATGTACCCAACTCAATATGACTACGACTGTAAAAACTGTCGAGTGCCTAACACTCTCTACCATATGGTATGGGAGTGCATGCACAACACCTCCATACCCCCCATTTCCCGACCAACCGCGGAGCAGTGGGAGGACCAGCTGACCAGCTTAAAACCTGAGGACCAGTCCCGACTGGTGAACAGGGCCAGACTGGCAGCGCGGGACCATGGCATCCTGGACTGAGGCAGCCACCCACCTGGGGACGACCCACAAGCTTTCGTCTGCTCAAGTTATAATAAAGTTTATTCCTCCTCCTTTGGGGACTTTTTTTGGTCGGTTAGGTCCGTCCACCGTGGGTCCGTCTCAGCTGAACGTGATCAGTAGCCAAAAGCACGAGCGTGCTCTAACGTTCCCCGCATTCTGGCGAAACGGAGTAAAAGGCTTTTTTATGATTTTCGTGAAACGTGCGTGGCAATTCGGTGACCTATAAGACGGAGACGGGCTGGCCTGGGCGGCCCCGGTGGTATATATATTGCTGCCGCCTCGCAAGACTGGTTTATCTGTATGATACTAGGTTGTAGCGCACGCTTTGCAGGCTCTGGGTTCAAGGTCGGTGGCATATACTATCGCCCTAAGATAAAGGAAACAAAAATCAAAGGACCGTCAAAAGTATACGCGCGCCGGGATTTATATGTTGCGTCATAAATAAATCGTCGAACACGATGACGCACGTATTTGTGGCAGCGGCGTCCGAGTTCTTCGCCGAGGTACGATTTCGGCCCTCTAAAGCGACAAACACCAAGCATTGTCCTGTGATTTTACGAAGCGATCTTTTTGATGATCACAGTAATTTGTTTTCGTCATTAGCGCTTATTCGCAAAGACGTTTTTTTATTATTTCAATGCACATTTTAGAGCGATTGTTTTCGCTATTTGGCGTCGGTGGCTCGGCTGGTATCACCGGCAGAACCAATCACACGCAGTGAAAGCGGCGTTATCAGTGCGCGCGTGTGTGTGTGTGTGTGATTTGTTTAGCCGGTAATAGCTTAACAAACGCACAAAGACGACGATCGCCATGACTATGCACTTTTGGCGCCCGGATTGATTGACTCCATCTAAACGCACACGTTGTCTGCAATGGGGTTTAAGGATAAACGGATTATAGTGACTCTACTCCCATCACGTGCCTCTCTCCGCGACTCTCTGATTGGCTCCCTGGTGCCGTATCTCTCACCGCTTGCCGAGTTAGGTCAAAGCGGAGGCTTTAAACCATGGTCATTTAATTAGCGTAAGTATAGCCGAGCGTCCCCAGTTTGAGCAGTCTGCGAAAAGCGGAGCCGCATTACGGCTAAATCGTCGCGTGTTCCGATTTCTTTTTTTTTTTTTTTTTTTTTTTTTGCGGGAGGCGTTTTTTTTGGTAAATTGAGTCGAAGAAGAGTCCATAGGCCCCGTTCTAATCGAGCAGCTTCGTATATAAAATTTCGAGGAAGTGGGAAGACGGATGAAAGAGGCGCGATCGGACGTTCTCAAAATGCCCTAACGTGATCGGAATGCGGAGAGCGAGTTCATCCGCTTGTTCTGGGGCAAGCGGTTGCGGATGACTTGAGAACGCCGAGTTCTGTGATTGGCTCGGATTGGTATATAAGGTAGCGAGTGGACTTCGATGCTAGCCGCCTCGAGGTCTAGCCACTATCCACGTCACCGCAAACCCTGCCCAAGAACAAGCGGACGAACTTACGCTCCGTATAGGAACACTTCGGATGAACGCACGAACACACGCACGCACAAACACACACAAAAAAACTGCACGGCTTTCTTCTTTTTTTTTTTTCGCACAAATTTGAAGTTTTTTGTACGGAACCACTTGTGCAGAAACTCTGTGTCTAAGTTATGGTGAACGTTTGCGTTTGTTGTGAAATTCGACTCGTACAACGAAGGTCGTGGAAATTTTAGCCGGTGGACGGACGCTTTTGAACCGCTAAAAAAAAAAAAGGGACGGAAGAATACAAAAATAAATTGTCATACACCTGTCCGTATACAGAGATGCCCCTGGCGAAACGAACTCGTATCTAAGTTGTAATTAACATGTGCCTCGGTGTGTGAAACCCAGATGGCACCTTTGTTTTGTTCTACGTTTCGGCGCACGTTTGCTGCACCGTTTTAAGTCGCGGTCGCACGGATAAATACATCGTAAAGAAAAATAATAAATTAAAAACAGACGCTGTCATACGCGTGTTACTTTCTCTTGTATTGTCGACTCCAGCGAAATCAACGCCGCGTAGCGGCAACGAAGAGAAGCTCATGACAGGAGGTTTTGACTCCATCGTCTGCTATCGCTGCTTGGTTCTCGTAGGCAGCATAGAAACAAACATCGTTTCCAGTAATTTATTTTTAGGCTTACACCGTGTCATTCTTACGCAGTGACTAGAAGAAGGTTTCTATCGTTGAAATATTTCTCTGCTTTCGTATCCGATCTTACGCTGCAGTACAAGAAATTTACGGGGGTTGAACGACAACAAACGACCCCCTTTCGTCCACCATTTTGCTTGACCAGCGCGCCACCTACAGTTCGCCGGAGTCGCGAATTGCGGCACTGTCACCTTGGTCATACTTTCAACTGTCTGCAATGGCGTGTACGAATCAAAGATGTGCTTCCAAGATCCTTAAGGCCTCTCCACAGATAATTCGGTCACCATGTCTTTAGCGAACCCTGAGTTTTGTGTGTGTGTATGTGTGTTTTTGTATAATGTATGAGCAGTGGCATTGCGCAGCTTTAAACTAATTTTTACGCGTGTGAGTGTGTGTGCGCATGTGTGTGTATGTGTGTGTGTGTGTCAGCGTCTCCTGGGTCGGAACTTGATTTGCGGCTGCGTCTAACCGAGTCGAGGGGGCGAGATCAAAGCTCGGTCGCTTCTATATTTCTCAACCGGAGTCCCGTCCAACTGCTAATCCCGGGTTTCTGGACTCGGTCACCTCCGAAGCCGTCCGATCGTGCTCTGGCAATACGTTTTCTCTTTCTCTTCTTTGTTTTACTTTTGGGTTACTCTTTGTTGTTTTGCCTCTATGTGGGCTGCTCGGCATCGGGTTTCAGCGTAGGTTTTTTTGTTTTTTTTGTGTGTGTGTTTGTGTGACACCGATGGTTGTCGGGCTTCCAGGTAACACTATCCGGTTCTTTCCCGCGTTTCCAATGCACTTTTTTTTTTTTTTTCTGCAAAAGAGTCGCGTGACAACGCTGTAGCACATGTGTGGGTGCGCGCTTTGAGCCATTGGGCAGGCGGTTGATATCAACGGTTGATATAGAGTGGAGTCACTCAATGAGCTTCGCTTAGAGTATCGGCACTCCGTTCCCCGACATTGTTGTGGGCGCCGCCATTATGGTGCTTGTGCAGAGCAGACGCAACTGCCGATCGTCATGATTGAAACATGCGACTTCCTCAGCATTAGATTCGGTGTCAGGAAGCTCATGTAATATTGCTTTGCTCTGTCGTGAACTGCTTTAACCTTTGCAAACGACGGACACACTTTTCCTGTGATTTCAGATGAAGCTTCACATAACTGGCAACCATGATTTTAAGCCGCAATATGGCCAAGCATAGGCGTAGACTACGGGGGGGGGGGGGGGGGGGGGCATCGGGGCTCGTGCCCCCCTAATGACATCCAGAGGGGGGGGGGGGGGGTAGGGTAGGGCAGACCCCCCCCCCCCCCCGGGCTTTGATCCTTACGGAGACGGTGTTTACGGGCCGCCATGTAACAAGCTTCTAGTAGTGGCATGTAAACAAAATAACGCACACAGCGACGGACACATGGCGATATACATATGCTGTAAAATGTGCCCCCTTAAAATAAACTACTGATAATTTCCGGTGTAAAAAAAATTGCGCGGAAAAGCGCCCCCCCCCCCCTCCCCCCCCCCCCCCCCCCCACCCTTCGGGAAAGTGGAAAGTCTACGCCGCTGTGGCCAAGTGTCGCTACCCTGAAGCGTAGCGTATTTAGTGGCACTATAATATAGACCTTTTTAAAAGAGGGCTTCTGGCCGGTTCCATTTTCAGTCTCTGTGCGTATGGAGCGTGATTTGCTCGCTTTACGAAGCGACAAACGTGAGCGCGCTCTGGACTGAGGAGATCGCACGCTGGGCTGAAGACTCGTAAATATTGGAATGGTCTATAGACGGTTTCTGTTTCCTGTTGCTCTCAGTCACGTGGGTTTTGTATCTGGTATGCGGGACGAAAAAAGATAAATAAAAAAGTTCAACCTGGAATATGAAAGAAAACATAGCTGAGGCAGAACAAGAATGTGTGACCATCACACATTTTTCGTAAGGGATGGGCAAAATACATGCAAATATGTATCGAAATACAAATACAAAATACTTAGCCAAAATGCATTTAATTACAAATCTAATTACATTTCCAAAAAAAAGCATTTAAGTACAAGATACAAATACAACCAAATGTATTTGATCTCCTCCAATTACTTTTCCAAATACATTCCTCAAAATTTGCGTCAGCGACTTCAGGGCACCCGCAACGGGTTTTTGGGTGTCTCATTGTAATTTTGCATCGCACACTCGAGAGTTAGTGTGCGAGGCTTTAGTAACGTAATATAAATATAATCACAAAAAAATGTAATCAGCTTGGACGTAGTAGGTGAATAAAGTACAGATCTTCAAGCAGCTTTTTTTGTCGATTACATTTTGGTATAGACCAACAAAGAACCGAGACGACCAAGACGCGCAGCACTAGCTATACTCCGCGACAACTTTTCTTGGCAATGCAGTGGAAGGTACAGGCCTGCGTTCCCTCTCCCATTTTGAGTGTGCGTGGGCTCTCCTCCTCTCCCCGGAAATTGGGAGAGGAGGAGAGCCTGCGCGCACTCAAAATGAGAGAGGGAACGCAGGCCTCTACCTTCCACTGCATTGCCAAGAAACTGTTGTAACTCGCACCAGTTACGAAAATCTGGACGACCCGCGCATTTAAAATGTTCCAGGCAAAAATATGGATGGAAATCGGGCTGGAAAGCATTACAAGGTGGCACAGGCACTAATTTAGCCAGTTTGCCTGTGAACGTCGATTTCGTCACTATTCTTGCCCTAGACTAGCACCGTAATCAGAAAGTCACTAAACGCTTGTGCTTGATTGAGAGACACTGCATTCGGTGCAGAACGTAGTTTTGAGGGGTGTATTTTCGCCCACAAAATTGTATTTAAAGGAGCGGTGAAACGATTTTCGGACTTTGGTCAAAGATTTCTGAAAGTTGCCCCCTGACACTTCTGAAGTAAAGAACCGAAAACCGATTTCGCCTGCGTGTCCTAGTTGTT